TAACAGTTTGTAGGCCTGAGCCTTTAACCATAAGAGAAGCACTAAATAATACACCCACCATGGAAAAGGAGTGCCCCGTAAGCCCCCAAGTGTCAACATCCATCCTTCTATCTTTCCCTTACATCCTACATTAACATTACCCTGCTCAGAAAGTCAGAAAATGGCAGGAAACTTGAAAGCTTAAAAACACCAGGACCTGGCACAATAGCTGTAGGAATACACTAAAGTGTTTCTTTGTTGTTTAAGCCTAGTTCTCGCTAGCCAGACATATAGCATCAGCAAGATTTTCTTAGAAAAGTGCTTTGCCCAATGTACACGAGCTGTCCAAACATCCAAAACCCTTCAGACACATGAGCTGTCCAAACATCCAAAACCCTTCAGAACTGGTGTGGTCCCGGTTGTATCTATCCAGCCATTTATGCTATCCTATTTACCGTGACAGCTGAGCATCGTGTATTCAGCAGTAAGAAGATCTGACTAGTGTTGAACTGTGTAAATTCCCAATAGATTATTGTTCATTTCTATAGGAGCTGCGGCAGGCATGCTGCTCACTGTCCTAGGAGTCACGCTCTGTGTAGCTGGTTCGTGAACAAGACACAGTGAGACGCAGAGGAAGAGAACCTGTTCAAAGGTAACCCCCCCATGGCTGAAGGGGGGGCTTCTGGCTCAGCAGCAGACCGTTCGGCTCAGTTGGACCTAGGAAGCTGTAGTTTGATACGCGGATGCCAAAAAACGTGAAAATGTGGACTGTATTCCCTGAGCACCAGGGTGAAACAGGGCATGTTGCAAAGCCATCTATTTAATGTCTTGAATTAAGGAATGTTTTGTCTGTGAGTGTTTCAAGGCAGGGATGATTGTCTTGTTCAGCACTGGAGGTATATTAAATGGTTAATAAATAATGCAAAGGAAGCTTCTGGGACCAAGTGGTTTTTCTGTAGAAGGAATCTGTTTAGGAACTCTCCCTTTCGTGGCCAAACATGTGAAAGTGGCTTCCTCCACTGCGCTCAGCTGCAGCGTACCAGGTCACACTGCACAGCCCCTTCCACTGAGGTTACCACATGGTTTTTCTCCACTGGCGTCTTGTTGAGCGCCTCTCATCTGTAAAATAACAACGGTACAGTTTGTCCCTATGAAAGGGAGGGTGGATTTCTTTTTAGTGACATTATCAGTCCAAAATACCAGCTAGGTCACAGAAGGAAACGTTTTTGTTACCCTTGTAATTAATCAGAAACACTAGGGAGGAGAATACAGAAAGCCTTGCACAAAGAGGGTTCATTCAAGAGCTCTTTATTACTATGACTCTTCCTAAATCAGGCAGATGCTCCTAAAACAAGTTAACAGAAACATGTGTATAGTTTTGGGAACAGGTTTGATTGCTGCAAACATTATCCAAGCATTCCAAATTAAGAGGGACAATGATGCAACAAAATCTCTTTATGACATAGAACAAACTTCATGGCAGACATTTTGTTACAAAGATGTGTATTCTATTTGGTAATTCTTCCTTCCCAAGTTCAGATACAAACCACCTTAATTAGAGTGCAGAAAAGCAGCCATTTCCTCTGAGGAAAGAAGGAATATGTTCCTTATTTAACAACATTGTGCATCTGATTCATTGCTCACTGGTGCTCCGCTTCTCAAGCCTAGATGATGAGGATGACTGATTTTAGAAGAGTTTGTTAATTCATCCAAAAGCCTGGACGGTTTGTGGCATTACAGAAATCCAGGATTCAGGTGCTTCTGTTATCTGCAGCTGTGCAGAGCCGTGTACCTAACTGTCCCTCATCTCCCATCACACTCTCTTTGTGAATTCTTCAGAGCTCTTTGCTGCCAAGGGCAACATGGTTTGGTGCTTTTCATCCTCAGAGTCACTCGTGTCCCTTTTCCTTGCTACAATGTTTTGTGATTTGTCTGTAGCCTGCGCCTTTTTGCAGTGAGAAAGAAACACAGTTATTAACATAGCACTTCACTATTACACAAAGATTCTGGGACTAAATTCCTGGATTCCATTTCCAGGTGGTTTTGGTATGCAAACTTGGGTCTCTACATTGAATTTAAAGGTAGTTTATTTAATGCCTAATGATTCTCTCCCACTGCAGAGGAGAGCTGTGACACTCAAATCATAACAACTGTATAGCAGTGTGACTTGGGGGAAGAAGGCCAACAGAAAACAACGGCATCAGTGCCCACCCCATGAAGAAATGCCGGCCCAGCCTCTAAAGCAAATACAGCACACCAGGCTCCACATTGAGCCAAGAAGTCAGGAACCATTAGGTAATTCTTTCCTAGGGCTTTCTCTAATTTAAGTTCAAAGGAGTTGTTTTCCTTTGAAGTTCTAATTAATCCAAAGAGACTACCTAGGCAGAACTGTGAATCACCTACAAAATAATGTATGTCATCCCATTACATCAGTTCTAAATGTCCTTATGAAAAGTTTAAAACATTAATAGGCCACAAACAATAAGCATCTTGCAGACATTTTTCACACAGAATTTTGTTTTAACAAGAAGTACTTTTTTCCTCTTTAAAAAAAAAAAAAAAGGGTTTAAACTTGTTACTATCTAATAAATGCGTTCAGTCATTTTATGAATTACGTGTTTATTCTCTGCCAGGTTCTAAGCTTCACCTCATGACAGGCAAGTTCTGCTTAACAAGTTACATTTGGGGGTCCTGAATTTTAGTGTAAGAAATCTGAACACAGCCAGGAAGGATCTTAGATGCTTCATAGAACCATGAAGTGGAAAAAATGCCTTACTGTGGTATATCATTTTGGCTTTTGGTATAAGTTCTTCTGCAGCTCTCTGGAACAGGAGTAAGGGTAGAAGTAGTACACACAAAAAGTCCAGGAAAGCCTTTGCTATCCTTACTGTAGTGGGAAGCTGTAGCTCTCACATTCTAGGAGGGAAGCGTTCATTACCCAGGTGACACTCTCTCGGCTTTCCAACGTGCAAAGCCCTGCAGTTACACACTGTCCTCTGGGCTCTGAAGTTCCCCTGGCCGTTACTTTCATCTTTACACATTGTAGAGAAGCGCAGTGCTTCGGAAACCTGACAGATAGGGCTTACAACAAGTGAGAAAACTGAAGGACTTCCCCAAGCAATTATTGTAAACTATTGACTGGTGTGTTCTCACAGGCTGTCTCTGAAGCGCAGGCTCTTGGATTTGACCTCCCTGCTGCGCAAAACCTGGAGCACTGATAGATTCCAGTGGGACCACGGGTACTTCCCTGCAGCAGTGAGACTCCCAACAGGGCAGAAAATATTTTCTCAGACCTGATCAGTGGGTACACCCACCCTTGTATGTTCAGCTTCTTTTACTGCCTGGGCACGTCGCATCTCCTTCCTAGGATCTCTGGTTTTAGAGACACTTCCTTCTGCAAGGAGGGGAAAAGAAAGAAGCTGTTCAGTGGGTGTTGCAGATAGCCATGGCCCGGTCTGGCTGAGGCTACGGAAACGTCCTCATGTGTGCCCAGATGAGGAGAGGAAAGGAGCAGACACAGTTATTGGATGCATCACTGCTTGCTTTCAGTGCGCCTGCAGGTATTTTGTCCTTTAGGTTCAAAGTAAAGTCACCTCTACACTTAAAGCAGTGTCCCTTACCTTGATCAGACCAGTGCTTCACATTCCTGTTGCTCCTGTTTTGTCCTGCATGGACAGGTTTAACATGGAAAACGGACTCTTTGAGGCAAGGTTTCCTGGCTTGCCTTTGCAGTTGTGGAAAAGCAGCTGGGACTTTGTCTTTCTCTGCAGCTCCTGTGGTCTGCACCCTGTGACTGTCCAGCTGAAAGTATTCATCACACACTTCTGATAGGCCTTCTTGATAAAATACTTCATAAAACAAGAGAAACTTTGCAGGGCAATCCCCTAAACACTGCAACTTTCCTCTGTACCAGTCAGGATCAAGGATTACAAAGCTGTAACACTGCATTCTCTGACCGGGGTTTTAAGTTGATACTACAAGTGAAACGGATACAGGGAACAAATAAAACATGTTTTGCAGTCACTACTACCTGCTGAGGTGGTTCAGAAAGAGCAGAATCACCAGCACTGACCTGGGGGGTGGCAGAGAGTTCACCAAACTGAAAACAAACAAAGGAAAGGGAAACTTTAAAGGCAAAATAGCACTTTCAAAATAGCACAGATGCAGTTTGGAACAGACAATCCAGGACTGCCCAGCTGCTGTATCTGTAGTCTCTCTTGGGCGTTTTACCCACACAGTGAGCAGGAAAGATACCCTAGCTCCAGGATGAATGCTGCCTGCCCACCAGCCAAAAAGGAGAAGAGGTGAAGTGAGGCCACCCTAAGGAGTTTTTCTTCAGGCAGTGAGATTTAATTCAAGTGTGATCTGGCTACGTAGCTGTCTCTAGCTCCTCTCCTTTGGGAATGGTGCCAAGCAAGGATGCTGTAGCCATGGCAATTGGGAACGGAGATCGCTATACACATCCACTGTGTGGATGGATGTCTACACAAAAGCAACTGCGATCGTAGCACAAACAGTCCCGCGCCAGCCGAACCACCTACCCTTCTGCGGTATCTTTTGCGCCTGCTATTTGGGTGGTTCCTGTAACAAAGAAGGAGCAGATTCTCAGCATCAGGCTGAAGTCAGCTGTAGGAGGACACAATTTCCCCTTTTCCCCTAAGAGAGAGCCCCTCCAGGTGTTTTTTCTCAGCGCAGGTGGAGCACACCCCACAGCGGATCACATTCCTGTTATATCACGCTGCCCGCCACAGGCCTGTGAAATTCAACGCCTGGCCTAAGGGGCAGGTGCTTCTCACCGCTTGGTGAACACTTAACTGAGAAACAACCAAACCACTTGCTTGCTTTGGCGCCGAACTCTGGATTCCAGGGGCTAACCCTTACACCGAAAGCTTTCAGAACACATTCATTCTTCCTAAACTTCCAACACATGAAGCCAAACTCAAGCCCTGAAGCAGACAGCACTGAACAGGACAGCTACAAAAAGGATGGCTTTAGCTGAAGACTACCAAGGAGAGGATTCCTTAAGCTGCTCGGCCGCAGTCTACGTACCACAGCATCCTGCACGGAGAATCCTGGGGGACCAGCAGCTCAAAGTAAGGCAGTTTTTTGTACTCCTCATTTCCCACTGCCACATAGTAATCACCATTCACCAGCTCCTCCCCACTGGACACCTGGGTTCCATCCAGCCTGCAGAGCCTCGAGGAAGAGAGAGCAAAGGGTTGAGAGCTGCCACGAGACCCTGAACAGCCCCTCAGCACAGAAGCAGTCGAACAAGTGCAAAGTGGTAAACGGGAGTGAGACCAGGCAGAGAGGACCATTCTTAGTATTACTGCGAGGAAGTACGCAGAAATATTACACCTGGTGGTCAGTAAGATGCAGTAGATCTCAGCTTTCGCCTTGGGTGTCAGTAAATAGACATATGAGGAGAAGGTAGGCTGTATTTGTTGGATAAAAGCCCCTCCCTCTAGACATAAACTCCTTTTTATTCCATGCTTTACTGTTTGCTTACTGCTTTTTCACCAGACCACCAGCAACATCAGCCCTCCTCACAAACCCAGGACATTGGGTTATCTCTGATTTAAAGATGAGAAAACCTGAAAAGCACATGAGTGTGCAAAAGCAGACTAGAAGTGGCCATCCGAACTCCCAGTCCTCTGTGCTAATCGGAGCTGCTTGTGTTCTGGACTTAAGGAAAGGGGAGCCAGCAGTGCCTTATCTGGATACCCACGTGTTAACAGCTCCGCTGCGCAGGCCGGCTTTCTGTGTCAGCGTGGCCAGGAGCGCATCCCACTGCAGCGGGGTGCTCTTGGAGAGCGGCAGTGGGAAAGGAGGGCTCTGCAAATCCCCATTCCGGAAAACACTGCAGTAGAAACAACCCAGAACACGCGATGAGCCAGTATTGCTGCAGCTGTGGAAGATGGGGAAAAAAAGCCAGCCACTGATGCCTGGACGGCATTTATAACAAATACTTCTGGTAGAAGCTGGGAATTGTCTCTGTGGGACAGCATTCCCAGGATCTCACAGAGAAATTCCCTCCTCCAGCCTCTGAAAATATTCCCAGAGACCCTCCAAGGAGAAAACACAGAGGCACTTACTGTATCGTGCAGGGCAGGTGGGCACGCTTCTGCCATCGCCCCAAGACGTTTGGCTTCCAAGGAGCGACAGTGCGGAGCTAGAGAGCGAGGACAGTGACAGCCCTGGCACAGAGCCTCCCAGGGCTGTTCCCTTTCCTCCATCAGGAGCTCCCTGCCCTGCCTTCAGGCTTGCTGCTCCTGGGTGGGGTTTCTTGTCAGCAACGCCAAAGCTGGAGAGGCTCTTCACGTAGCTGAGTGTGTTCCACCATTGCCAGTGAACCTCTGAGCACAGATCCTTCCCCTGCACCATGAAGGGGGACAAGGGTACACAGCAGCAGCCCTTGTGCTGTCTCACGTGTCCGGTTCAGTCCTGGGGCTCTTTTGCCTGATCTCGACTGGGCACCTCGCAGCCTTAAACCTCAACTTTAGTTTCATCAGTGCCAGCCCTAATGTCTCTCACACCTCCCCGCGCATTCTGCGCTCCCACCTGCGCCCACTCAGCTCAGGGACTCACCTGCAGACCCTCGCTGTTCCTCGTCCCACGGAGCTCCTTCCTTCCGCGATTTAAATAGCTGTGAGAACAGGACAACGATGTTGCCACGTACCAACCGGGCCGTGGCTGACTAAAGAGCAGTAAGGAAACGACTGACTGCTCTGCCTTGGTGCATCGCCACCAGATGCGTGGGTCGCTTCTGAAACGATTCTCCAGGTGCCTCGCCTCATGGTCTCCCAGAACTTCAGTCTACGTTAAAGTCTGCTACATTTAAGAAATTCCCAGCCAAATACAGAGCAATTCAGACCCCAAGCTAAAGACATCCAGAAGATTTTGTTCCTTTGTGTTACTCACTGATCAAGGCTCCAGGGGCTGACTGGTGTTAATGCAGACTGGACCACCTCCTCAACAACAGGCAATACACACCAGGGAGCCAAATTCACCTGACGGGCACACACACATCCCCTCGAGTGGCAGGCAATGCCACGAAAACCTCTTTAACCCTCTGTATTTCAGGATGAGCCAAAACAGCTCTAGTTTGTGCAGGATCAGAAAACAAAAAACTCCATCAAACGAAAGCAAAAGTATTTGTCGGTGGATACGGTGTGAGTGCCAGCTCTGCCAAGGAAGCGGGCAGCAGAGCCTCCCACACACCACAAAACGAGGCGCGCGGGCGGCAGAGCAGCACCCATCACAACATCCTGCCAGAGAACGCAGGCCTGCCCAACACGTTTTCTTCTGAGAGTCAAGTGACCTTATCAGGAATATGCATTTTCCGCGCAATCCGGAATATGTCCAGTAGTTTCCAGTAGGAAAAGAGACTAATCTGCCTCTGCTTTTCATTGGATTTGTACCCCTCTCACCAATTTTTTTCCATTCACACCCCACTACATTCCCCACAGAGGTGATCTAAAGCTGCTTACCAAACCCAGACACCAAAGGTCTGTCTACTCACTTGAGCTTTTTGAACCTTTCAAAGCCTGCAGCCACGTACTGGCACCCATCCTGCAGGTCTCCCAGCTCAGCGACGCGGTGGCCGTGCCTGGGCGTGTAGAGGCTCCTCACAGCCAAGGGCGCGTGAATGCTCTTGGTCACCTCATTCAGAAATGCCTCAAAGGTCAGGAACCGCCGCTGGTTCACTACAAACTTCCTCCCGGGGAAGAAGGGGTCACCGTTGCGGTACACCACCACATTCTTGGCTGGAGATGCCAGAGCTAAGCCACGGGAGCTCATTCCCCGTGGGTCAAGCGAGCCCCACTGACCCACAGAGGCAGAGAGATCAATGTGGGGAGCGGAGGAGAGCTCCGGCCGCTGAGCCCAAACCCTTCCGACCAGCCGCTCTCGCGCTCTGCCGTCCCTTCCCAGCGCAGTCTGGCGCGACTGGCTGTCTCCATGGACGCAGGCCCAGCGGGAGGAAGTTGTGGGCCTGTCTGGAGGCCACATCAAACAACCTGCAGAGCACGTTTCAGTTTGAGAACCAGGAACCACACGGCTCTTTCATCCTCAAACACCAAGCCCTGCGAGCTGCCTCACCAGCCACTGCGGCCCCTGCGCTGAGATTAAGGAGCTGGGAGGAACAGTAAGTGCCAGTTCTTTACGGCAGCAGCTCACACCCCATCCAGAGCAGCGCTGTCAGAAGGTGTCATCCCCTTGCCATCGCTTGCTACCTACAGGAGACATGCAATTGGTTTCTGTCCCATGTGTACTGGACAAACACCCACGTCCCAGCGCCCACCACCCTTTGCACTGAACAGGTTGCACGGGTCAAAACAGACCACGGACTCACTTGGCTCTGCCCAGGAAAAGGCGGCAAGCCAGACAGGAATAGGCAGATTCCAAGACGAGTGTCAGGAAAGCTTTTTATTCACAAACAAGTTGGCATCGTTCAGGAACAGAAGGATACATCGCCATATGGCAAGAGTGACCGCTCAGGCAGCAGGAACGCCAAGTGTTTGCACGGAAAACTCAGAGTCACAGTAGGGAACCACAGCACCACGTGGAAAATCCCTTTCTGAGGGACCTCGAATGCCCCTGAACTACAGCAATGTACAGACAAAGCGCCAAACCCTGTAAGTCCTTACTTGCTCCCTCAAGCACCAATCTCTCTGCCACACAGAGAGATACTACCAGGGCCAGAGAGGTGCAAGTCGGGAACCAAGGCTCATCTCTAGAAAGTCAGGTTTGACGTGCCACCGCTCCCCACCAACTGCACAGGGAAGTTAGGAAACTCTCCTCCTAACTTAGTACTGCGACTAGGTGTTCCCCAAAGCCTACCACAAGCGCTTGGAGATCCCAGATATTGCGGAGCTGTGACGTGCAGAGCCATCCCAAATACACAGCTCAGATACCGATACGGGTCACACACAGTTGAGTGGGGAAGAGCTTGTTCCTGCAGATTCAAAGCACCTGCTGCCTTCAGGCATTTTAGTTCCACCATAAGTAACCAGCTGGTCAGAAAGAACTTCTGTAAGTGACAATCTTCCCAGTCTCAATTTTCCCACAGGACTGTCCAGCTCAGCCAACAGAAATAGGTTTCTTGTGGAAGGAGGCCTCACTAGGACTCCCTCTAGGACATGTAACCACCTCCCTGGCTTCACAATGTTTAATCCCTGCTTTGACCAAATATTCACATTTAAAAAAAATAAAAGGCTTTCTTTGCCACATTCATCTGAAGGGGAAAATGTCAACCCACAGAGCTGGAGTTCCCCTAAGCTGCTGCTGTCCACGAGGTCATGTCACGACTGCGGTGCTGCAGCCCCACTGCTTCTCCACACCAAGACAAGTGCTCCTCATGCGTGGGAATGCCCTCCTACGGGTCAGGAGTCCCCAGCCTCTGTTTCAGCATTAAGTACTGCAGGAGAGAGAAACCCAAGCATTAACGATTAAATCTCAGAGACCTAACAAGTAGGAAGGCACCCACCCTTGCAGATCACCCAGCAAAATCACTGTCCTTGTCCAGAAGATGCACGAGTCTCACCTTTCAAGCAATGCAAATAGCAGCTCGCTAAGCTAGCCAGTGCCCAGGTACGTACCGCTGCGTCGTACAGATGGGATAGTTCCCACAGTAGCAACGTCCCTGTAGCAGGCCAGGAGCAAAGCTTGTAAGCAGATATCCTGTTTTCCTTCATCATTCCTTTTTTTTTTTCTCCCCCAGAGAAGTGGTGGGAGGGGCACTGCCATCATCCCATCCAATACTTGGGTAACCAAACCGTCACCATTCAACCCCAGCCCCACCACAGACGGCACCGCTCTGGCTGCAGACTGGCACTGGTCTGACCGACAGTTTTGGAAGAGGCAGGGTCAGGCCCTTACGTTTTTACGGCTGACAATAGCTTGTTGCAACCACAGCAACTCCATGATCAAGTGATTTCTGTAGGACTGGAGACCAGCCCGAGTTCGAGGAAGCTCCTTTATGTCCTCAAGTGAAATTTCTGCAAAGAAACGGAAGAATAACCTATTATTAAAACAAAGATTCAGATTACACCTACTGTCTCTCCTGCACTGAGTTGTTCTAACCTCTCCAAGATATTCTCAAGGTTTTGGTTCTCCAAGGACCTACTGTGCTACCTGCCCTCACCACCAGGTCCCTCGGACCAGGCAGGAGGGCACACGCTGCACGCCAGCTCCCGTCTCTTACCCAGGCAGGCTTCAAGGGGCTCTGCCTCCAGGATAGCGCTGTCCCACACAGAGGATACGGTGCTGTCGTTCTGCCAGTCCTCGCTCTCTGCTGGGGCACTGCACCTCTTTTCAGTGCATCTGTTGGCATCAGCCCCAAGATTTGGGGGGCTCACTACCTCGCCTTCACCTGCGGAGCTCAGTTCTTTCTTGCTTTGCAGCTGGGCTGTAGGATTCACACTGCTGCAGCCCCAGTCCTGTTCTGGTTCAGAGGCGTCCAGCTCCTCCTGTGGTTTTTCTGCGCTGGCCTCATCACTTGGTACAGCCTCCTGCGGACCTGAACGCTTCCCTTGCGTTGGCTTCTAAAGGGGCAACGTGCGAGAGATTGAAATATAAGGAAACGAAAATATAAAGATCTGACAGGTGGCTCTGCTGTGGGCCAGAAGCTGTCCCAGCCAGAGAGCTGCC